GGGGGGGGGGGTGATGATGCTTCTAAGAGGCACAAGGGCATGTCAAGGAGGTGGGAAAGAGCAGGGAGGGGATGGGAAGAGGAGTGACTGGTGCCAAGGAAAAGAACAGACACACAGACGCCTGTTAGAGCAAGTGGAGAACTGCCGTTCCCCAATCTGCCTGCGGATGCTCTGTGCTGATTCCCTCCACCTGGACTGTCCGGCTGCCAAGCTCTTTGTTTTTGGTTAATCCTCACCAGAGGATATTTTTTCCCATTGATTTTTAGAGATAGTGGAAGGGAGAGGGAGAGACAGAAAGAGAGACATCGAGGCAAAAGAGACACATCAATGGGTTCACTCCCCCACGTACCCCCACTGGGACCAGGGATCGAGCCTGCAACTGAGGTACATGCCCTTGACCGGAATCTAACCCGAGACCCTTCAGTCTGTAGGGCAACGCTCCAACCACTGAGCACACCGGCCAGGGCTGGATGCTAGTTTTATGTGGCATCCCCTGGAAGAATGCGGGGAGGACCCAGGGCATCAGTGCCGTTCACTCTGGGCCAGAACCCAGCACTCCGCAACCAGAGCCCCTCTCCTACCTCCCTGGTCTATACCACTCCCACGCAGGAGAGGGCATCGTCTGCTCGGACCTTAATCTGTCCACTTCATCTGCACTCTGCACATCCTCATCCCTGTCCACGTTCTGGCCAACGTCTGCTTTAAGTCACAAGTGCATCCAAAAGAGCAACAGTTCTGCAAGAAAGAACCACACAGCACAGCCTTTGTGGGAAAGTGATGCTGAGAAAAATCTGCCACCCCCCATTTCACCCCCAATCGAATAGTGTGCTCCTACCCTCACGTCCTGTTTTTCGCTCATTCAACAATGATTTGTTTTCAGTTTTCAATGTGCCAGGCCCTTTGCCAGGTGCCAGGGACATGGTGAAACCCAAAATGGGTCCTCCCGCCGTTTTCATCCAGGCTGAAGCTGGGGAGAAAAGGTGTCAAGGACAGTGGGAAATAATTGAAGAAATGACATAACCTGATTTTATTTTAAAAATCATGCTTAGCCACTTGTCCAGTTGGTTGGAGCATTGTCCTGTGCACCAAAAGGTTTTGGGTTCGATTCCCAGTCCCTGGTCAGGACACATATGGGAGGCGACCAATCGATTTTAAAAATAAGATCCTATCTAGCCACTCACTGACAGTGGCTTGTAGGGTGCCAACACAGAAGCAGGAAGACCTGTGGAGAGTTGCTGGCAGTAGGCCAGGTGTGCCTACGCAGTGGCAGTAGAAGTGAAGAGAAGCATGCTGATTTGATGATGAATGTTGGAGGTAGTATTGACGGGATGCTGGAAGAGAAAAAAATGACTCAGGTTTTTTTGGTTTTGTTTTAATTTGCTTTTATTGATTTTAGAGAGAAAGGAAGGGAGAAGGAGAGAGCGATGGAAACATCAATATCCATTGGCTGCCTCCTGCATGCCTCCCCGCCCCCAGGGGGAAATCAAGCCTGTAACCCAATCGTGTGCCCTGACGGGGAATCAAACCAGTGGCCTCCCGGTACAAGGATCAAACACTGAACGACACTGGCCAGGTAAGACTCAGATTTTTGGTTTGAGTAATGGGGTGAATGAGGAGAGAAAACCTGTAAGAGCAGCAGGTTTTTAAGCAGTTTTGTTTAGAATCTGAGAAATCGGGGTGGTTATGTCAAGTAGGTAATTGTTACTAGTGTAAGTCAGAGTTGAGACGATACGTCTGAGCTGAAGGTATAAATACATTTGAGAGTCATCAGGACATAGATAGTATTTACAGAAAGATATCCACCTTACATTTTTGGAGTAAAAAAACAAACAGCAAACAGTATGCTCGATATGGTTTTAAATGTGACAGAAATTACTGTTCATAGCAACTTAATTCAACAAACATGTATAGAAGACCACTTTATGTTAGTTCTAGGGATTCAGACATGAACAAGGCAGGTCCCCACACTTGGAAAGCTTTTCTCTTTGTTTTAAAGAACTTACATGGCCCTAGCCAGTTTGGCTCGGTGGAGAGAGCACTGGACTTTCAGTTCCCGGGTTCGATTCCAGTCAAGGGCACGTACCTTGGTTGCAGGCTCCTCCCTGGCCCAGGCCCTGGTCAGGGCGCGTGCAGGAGGCAAAACAATCTACGTGTTTCTCTCACATCGATGTTCCTCTCTGTCTTTCCCTCTCTTCCACTCTCTCTAAAAGATCAATGGAAAATATCCTCAGGTGAGGATTAACAAAAAAAGAAAGAAAAAGAACTCTTATTGATTTTACTAATAGAAAGGGAGGAAGGGAGAGAGAGAGACACAGACACATTTATGTGAGAGAGATACACCCATTGGCTGCCTCCTGTATGAGCTGCAGGGATAGAACCCACATTCTAGGTATGTGCCCTGGTTGTTCTGGTACATGGGATGATGCTCCAACCAAGCCACACTGGCCAGGGCTAAACAATTTATTGATTTGAAGTGTATAATTCAATATTTTTAGAATATTCACTGGGTTGTACAACCTTCAACTTAAGTTTATTGGATTTTTTTTCATTTATCCTATTTATTATAGAAAACCTAAAAGCCTTGGCAGGATTGCTCAGTTGGTTAGAGCCTCACCCCGATACACCAAGGTTAAGGGTTCCATCTCCAGTCAGGGCACATACAAGAAGCAAGCAATGAAAAGCTTATGCTTTCATAAATGGAACAACAAGTTGATGATTTTCTCTCCCCTCACTCTCTAAAATCAATTTAAAATTTTTTAGAAAACACAGAAAGTCTTATTAGAAAAAAATTACATACAGACAACTATATTAATATGTTGGTGTATTTTTCCCAATATATTTTCTTTTGCACAGTCTTCTAAATGAATATTGTTTTTCTGTATACCTTTTTTCTAATACCATAGTTTTATATCCCATTTTCACATTATAAATACTTACCTACATTGCTATAAACATTTTTTATAACTGTTTGAACACATTTACTGAACACATTACCAGTCAATGATCTAGACAGTATTACCTAAGTGATACTCTGAATAACCTAAGAGATTATTCTCATTACCAACAAAAATATTGATGCACTAAAAGCTTAAGTAACATTCCCTAGTTGGTGTTGCTCAGTGGATAAAGCATCGGCCTATGGAATAAGAGTCCTGAGTTCAATTCTGGTCAAGGGCACATACCCAGGTTGTGGGCTTGGTCCCCGGTCGGGGGGTGTGCAGGAGGCAACCGATCAATGATTCTCTCTCATCACTGATGTTTCTGTCTCTCTCTCCCCTCTCCTCCTCTTTGAAATCAATAAAAATATATTTTAAAAAAAAGCTTAGGTAACAGGTCCATGTTCATACAGGTAGTAAGTGGTAGGACAATAAACATTACAGAACCAATTGCATAATATTCCAATATTATGACCCAGTTTTCTCAACCATGTTGCTATTGTTGGACATTCAAGCTATTTCTAATGTTTTGCTACTGTAAATAAAGTTTGATATCTTTTCTCTTTTCTGTCATTTTCTCCTTTAGTATTTTATCCTTAAATAAATTTCCGAGAATGAGAATCACTCTGTCAAGTGATGTGAAGCTTTTTAAGGCTCGTGATGCAACGCTTTCCCCAGAGGCTGAGCTGAGCCTCGGCCATCAGTACTGAGAGCCAATTTCACAGCAGCCTCACGAGCATCATGTTTTGTTTTTAAAGTCTTTGTTAATTGTTGCTTTAACTTTACATTTCTCTTATTTCCAACAATGTTGGGCATTTCGTTATATTTGTGCATCAGTTTTGTTTCTTCTTCTGGGCATAGTCTGACGTCATTAATAGGGGTTTTCTAAAAACAAAGAACCCATTCCAGCTTCTTTTTTTTTAAAAAAAAATTGAATTATGTAAAGTTGACTGTGTATATACCTGCAGACACTGTAGCCCACCAGGTGAGTACTCCGTACTCCTAACAAATCTCAGGGATTTGTGACTCTGGGCCACTTCTGCCTGCTCATCCTTTAAGTCAGATCTGTGCTAGGCCCCAGGCTTCTGTGGAGGAACTCTGGAGTGGAGGTCAGGACCTGAGGACTTCAGCCTTGAAAAGAAGCAGCTCACCTTCGGCCCACCCTAGGGCTTAGGAGCAGGACAGACAGGATGGCTGCTGATGCTAAGAGAAGGGTTTGCAAAGAATGAGTAAAAATTTCGCTGGACTGACACGTGTACAGCTTGAAAATTCTGCTCACCCTCAGGAATGATTTTGTAGCCTTTACAGGTTCCCCTTTACCGCTTCACAGGAGTGATGCTCACAACGCCCTCTGGGCATGGCTGTGATCACGTCTTAGATGATGGCCGCCTTTAGCTTGTGCTCGGGCTCAAGGTGCTGCCTCCCGTGCTTAGCACCCCTGCAACCTTACACAGTTCCTTCCTTGCCCAGCCTCAGTTCTCCTGCCTGTAAAATGCCCGTAACAATAGTACACCGCAACCCTGGCCTGTAGCTCAGTTGGTTGCCTGTTGATCCCCAGTCAGGGTACACACAAGAAACAACCAATTTCGGTCTCTCTCTCTCTCTAAAATCCTATATTACAAAACCCTAATATGCAAATCAACTGACCAGCTGATGACACGCACTGACCACCAAGGGGCAGACGCTCAAGCAGGAGCTGCCCCTAACCAGCTTGAGTGCCCCCACAACCCCCAGAGGGAGATGATCCTATGGCTGGGAGCGGTGCCAGGCCACCAGGCCGCCAGCCAAGGCGGGTGCCAGTGGGACATCCCCCACCCCATTGCCCTGCCCGCCGGTCACCCCAAAGATGGCCCTGATCACCAACCAGGCCTAGGGACCCAACCTATATATTGGAAACAGTCGCTTAGATTTAAAAATCAAAACCTGGTAAGACTACTCTAACACTGAGAGAAACAGGATGCAGCGATGCCATGCATGGGCTCTGGCTTGCACCTGTTGTGGCCAGCCCTGATTCTGTCGTTTATAACTGTGAGACAAAGCCAGTTAACTTAACTTCTCTCTGCTTCAGTTTTTCCACCCATAAGATGGGGGCAATGGTACCACTGCCTCAGAAGGATCATGTTATGCACTACTTTTTATAATCAGGGCAAAAAAAATGTAGCTGCCCATACAGCAGCAATAGGCCTTTCACCTGTGTGAAAAGTGTGGTCACGGGCGCGTGCAGCGTCCCTGACTGCGAGAGGGGGACTGCGAGAGGGACGTCCCAGGCCGGTTTAGGCCCGACATCCCCGAGGGGCGCAGGCCAGGCTGAGCATTTCACGCACCAGGCCTCTAGTAAGTAAATAGATCATTCTAAGAAACAGCGGCAGCCATATAGGGTTCCGTGAGGATCACTGCGGCAGTTCGGGCGGAGCGCTGGACACACGTGAGCACCCTGCGTTACTAGGTCAGGTCTGCTGCGTCGCCCAATAGGGGTGTCAACACCCCGACGTGTGTGTGGTTTTCGACCCGCAGTGCCGCCTGCTGGCGAGCTCCTCCCCGCACCTGCACGCCATCCCCTTTCCCGGCCTTTTGTGGCTCCTTTTTCTGGCGGCTTCCGGGCTGGGCGGCACCAGGGGCTATTGCGGCCCACAGCGCATGAGCGGAGGGGAGCCGGGGGGAGGGGCCGCGCAGTCGCACACGGGCCCGCCCCGCCCCCAGGGGTGAGGGGTCACGGGTTGCGTAGGACCCGCAGCGCATCGCTTTCCCACGCCCCGGGCCGATGGCGCCCGCGCAGCGCTGCCCTCTGTGCCGCCAGACCTTCTTCTGCGGCCGCGGGCACGTCTACAGCCGCAAGCACCGGCGGCAGCTGCAGGCGGCTTTGGACCGGCTCCTGCCCCAGGTGCGGGCGGGCGGCTTGGGGACGGGCGGGCAGACCAGTGAGGACCCGATGGGATTGGGGCGTCTCGCTCGGGGGCCCCACTCGGGCTCCCACTTGGCCTCCTCCGGTCATCCCGCCTCTCCCGCAGGTGGAGGCCGCCCGCAAGGCCGTCCGCTCGGCGCAGGTGGAGCGGTACGTGCCCGAGCACGAGCGGCGCTGCTGGTGCCTGTGCTGCGGCTGTGAGGTGCGCACACACCTCAGCCACGGGAGCCTGACGGTGCTGCACGGGGGGCTGCTGGAGCACCTGGCCAGGTGAGGTCCGGCCGGGGGCCTCCGCGGGCCTGTCCGCCTGCACCCGTGGGAGGAGGATCCGACCCGGGGGATGGATGGCCACCCCTAGAGGTAGCCTCCCCTAGGCTAGGGCTGCAGGGTCCCAGCGGTGTGGGGGGGTCTCGCTGGGAAAGCCAGCAGGGCGGCCAGCTCGAAGTCACCCCCCCGTCACTCACCTCCTCAGGTTCTCACATTGTTATTTGAGGATGGAGACCGGACATCTAGAAGATCTGACTATTTCCCGGCCAGCCTTGCCAGATGTCAGCTGGCATTACTTACCTAGCGCCTGGCTAATATCTGAGCAATAGTCTATAATCTATCATTGAGATTATCCATATTCTCTATTCCCAGCCCAGAGCATAAGAAAGCAACAAACCGATTCTGGTGGGAGAACAAGGCTGAGTTTCAGATGAAAGAGAAGTTTCTCATCTCCCCTCAAGAGTATGCACAGTAAGTCGCTGCTTATGAAGGATGAAGTGGCAGAATGTGAATTCTCTGGGTCTGTGCCAAGTACTAGAGCTTCCTCTTAGTAGGAAAGTTTAGTAAAGAATGTGTGTCTGTTGTCTTCAAAGGACTCATTACTCTAGGTACTATATTGGACACAAAAGAAATGAGACACGTCTTTGAGAGGTGTATAATCTAGTTGGGGATGGGATTTAGCAAATAGAGAACATTAGGTAGTAAAGGTTGACTCTAATCAATTAAGTGTGGCACAATGAATACAAGTGCCCACCCAGTACCCACTTTTTTTTTAAATTTTCTTATTGATTTCAGACCCAGTACCCACTCTTAATAGTTTTAGACTCTCTCAGCCTCTGGAGGACCCTTAGAAACGGAGGTGCGGGAAACTGGTCAGCCCAGAGGGAGTGTGAGTGCTGGCTGCCTCCAGGAAAGGTCACAGGCAGCCGCACCACACCACCTGTATTGGGACCATATTGAGATTATGGATATGGAGCCCTTAGAGAAAAACTCATGATATCTCTTGGTATCTATTATTCCTTTCTACTCAGTGTGGAGGATAATGAGGGAATGATCAGAAATGCTTAAATCCACCCTAGCTGGTTTGGCTCTATGGATAGAGCGTCCGCCTGAAGGGTCCTGGGTTCAATTCCAGTCAAGGGCACATGCCCAGGTTTTGGGCAGGATCCCCAGTAGGGGACGTGCAGGAGACAGCCAATCAATGATTCTCTCTAATCATTGATGTTTCTCTCTCCCTCACCCTTCCTCTCTGAAATCAATTAAAAATATATATTAAATAAATAAATAAATAAATAAAATAAAGACCCAACACTTAAAAAAAAAGAGAAAGAAATGCTTAAATCCCACTACCTCCTTTCACACCTGTGGTTCAGACTAGGCGATGGGAATCTGAGGCCAGAAAGCACTCACGTCTCATTACCCAGCCACATAGGGTTTTTGAAGGATAGTTAAGCAGAAAAGTTTATGATTGAGAATTATGAGGACAGACTCTTGGAATTTATTTAAATACTAGAGGCCTGGTGCACAGGATTCATGCACTGGTGAGGGGCATGGCCTGCAGGGAGTGGGCACTGTGGGAGCACACTGACCTCCAGGGGGCAGCCCCTGCATTAAGCGCCTGCCCCCTGGTGGTCAGTGCATCATAGCAACTGGTCAACTGGTCGTTCTGCCATTCAGTAGCTGGGCTTTTATTATATAGGAGGATAGTTTTGACTTTTAACTGTATAAATTTTGTTGTTAATCCTCACTTGCTATTTTTTGCATTGCTTTTCAAAGAGGGTGGGAGGGAGGGAGAGAGAAACATGGATGGCATATCAACTGTTGCCTCCCGCACGTGCTCCACCAGAGGGCAGGGAGCGAACCCCCAACCCAGACACATGCCCTTGACTTGGAATACAACCTGCAACTCCAGTGCATGGGCTGATGCTACAACACTGTACCGCACCAGCCAGGCCTAATCTTATACATTTTAAGACCACACATAAGACTAGACAGGCCGAGCCTGACTGACCAGTAATGATAAAATGAGCCACTTTTAGGTTTAGACAGTTTATGACTTACATAGCAAAGGGAGTAAGCCCAAGGTGCCAGCCTCCCAGGTCCTTGTCCAGCTTGCCAGAAAGGACCACACTGAAACAAAGGGCTGGGGGACCTCAGCATGAATGTGGGGAGTGGCTGGGAGCCAGGTGTCAGCTGAAGCTGCAGCTGCATGGCTCTCAGGTTGCAGCTATGCTCTGAGAGGGCAGGACAGAAAGCCTGGACCTCATCAGAACCTCGGGGTTGGTGAGAAACTGTCTCATGGCAGCCTCCCAGGGAAGAGAGGCTGGAGATGGCCTCAGTGTCTTCCAGGCCTCCTGAACTCTTGTGTTCTGGGATCACACAGGCATTCAGTCAAGGCTGACAAACTGCAGTTCAAGGCTTTGCCTGTGCCGCTACATGCAGGGCTGCTAGGGCCCCGTGGGAGAGCTGTTCCCCCACAAACTAAAATTTCATTTAGAGCCCTGGCCTGTTTTCTCAGTGGTTAGAGCATTCGCCCACACACCAAAGAGTCACGGGTTCGATTTTTGGTCAAGAGCACGTACCTTGGTTGCATGTTCCTGAGCCCCAGTGGGATATGTTGCGGGGGGGGGG